TCTACCTGACCAAGGCTGAAAGAAAAAAATGGGGATAATTTAGTTACACACACACACACACACACACACACACACACCCCTCTACTTGCTACATTCGATCCTTAAAAGACCAAGAGGCTAAACAAAGCAGGGAAAGAAATCCCAGATTCCAGGCTCAGATTTATGACTGAAGGAGAAGGTTACACATCCCTGTAATCTCAACACAGGAAAATTGAGTCCAAGGCCAGATTGGGACACATAACTATATAGCTCCATTTCTTCCTCTACAAACAAATAGACATACAATTTATGTTTGTTGTAACTTCTTATGAATGCTAACACCACCCTTTCTAATGGCCAAGAGGTATTTACTAGATAGATAGAAATTGAAGCCAAGATGAGTGGGGCATTCTGACCCATACTACATAGTAAGTGAGAGGTCAGAGCATCTGACTTGGGCATTCTATCCAGCCTAATCTAAATATGAACATCTGTGGGTGAGCATGCACGCGCGCGCACACACACACACACACACACACACACACACACACACACACACACACACACCTGAAGTGATTTCATCTTCAGATTTGAGCTGACAAAGTTACTCCATGTAAACTCCATCTGGAGGCTGACCTGTGATCTCACTGCATGAGGAATACTCAAAATCACCTCGAGGAAATGAAACCCCACTTCTGAGCAGCAGGTGTCCCCTTGTGTTTCTGCAACACATTAGCCATGTGTGCCTTGCATCCCACCCACCTGCAATGTGCCAGAGGCCCCCCACGCCATAGGGCTCCCTAGCTATCTGTGTGAAGAATGTAATTATTCATTCCTCAATAAATTACCTTTGCATCTTTTTATGACACAGCAGTAGATCAAGTCTCCAAGACTATTCTATTTATTTAGGAAAAAAAAAACACATTTTTCTAGTTCATCCTGGATCTTGACTCAAAAATTAAGTTTTTAGATGGCTATCTTTAAATATTTTTATGTTAACAGATATGACTACTTCATTCTCTCCACCATGCAAATTCATTCAAATAAAATGTAAATTGCATGATAATTGTGTGCCAAAAGTCCCATTTTCTCACAGATAGAACTGATGCAGTTTCTTCCAAATAATGGCTTATATTCTACATAAGCTTCAAATAGTCTTGAATTCTGCTGTTAACCCCTTGACTACTTTAACAAAAGTGAAAATAGAGCCAACTGAAATCTGTCTAGAAAGGGCCTGCAGGGGTCTGCCTGCCTGATCGGTTGACATGACAGATTACTTTCAAAAGTCTTCAGTGGTATCTTGATGTCACTGTTCTTGTCCGCTGAATAAAATGAAACACTGACAACTCGTTTAACTCATTTTAAGAGACTTTCACTTCCTTTCAAAATACCAGCCCTTCAATATAAGAACTGGAAATTCTGACACAGTTAGGTAAAAACCATAAGCACTAACTGTGTGTTCTTCCCAGTCGGGGAGCTCTCAGGGAAACAGGGCTTTACTGCCACTGTCCTTGCAGCAGCAGACCTGGGCGACTTCATACTTCCCCAGGCTTCTGAAGCAGGAACAGGGGATGCTTTATACTGGCTGTGGTAGTTTAAGTGGGAATGGTCCCCATAGACTGTATGTTTGAATAATTGGTTCCTAGCTGGTGGAATTGTTTGGAAAGGATTAAGAGGTGTGGCCTTGTTGGAGTACATGTATTGCTGGTGGTGGGCTTTGAGATTTCAAAAGACTCCTGTCATTCCCCAGGTCTCTGTCTCTGTCTCTCTGTGTCTCTGTGTCTCTGTCTCTCTCTCTCTCTCCCCCTATCTGCTACTTGTGATCGTAAGGTGAGCCTTCAGCTGTTCCTACCACAATGCTTTTGCTCTACCATCATGAGCACTAACCCTCTGCAAGTATAAGCCTAAATTAAATACTTTCTTTTATAAGTTGCCTAGGTCATGGTGTTTCATCACAATAATAAAAATGAAACTTAAACACAGGCCTGGAGTGCAACTGGTTGGGGGTCTGTTTTTGGTTTTCCTTTTTTCTTTTTCTTTGACTATAAAAATAATTGCCTAATAATCTTTGGAATAAGATTGCAAGAGGCATCTTGCAGAATGATGCCTTTTGGTTTTAAAAATAAACCTATGTCAAGAGAAAAAAGTTCTTCTGTTTAGAATATATAAGTTTTTTTTCCTTTAAATTTGTCAGGAATGATTCAAGCCACAGTTGACGCTGAAGTATATCTGGGTGTGAAGAGCGGGGATGCTTTAAAATCCTCATCTGCTGCTTTCCATCTTTTTGACTATAGGAACAAAGTTCATGATAATCCCTTTGGGTGAGAGATGGAATATTTTTAACAGGCTTGTGCATGTGTATATGTGGATTTGTGTGTGCATTGGGATAGACACCTTCAGACAGGAAGTGAAGAGTGGTACTTTTACACTTTCAGAATTCTGTAAGGTTTAGGCCACAATAATACAAAGAATGTGGAAACACACTCCAGGACTAGAGACGACACAACAAATCTTATTCAGT